GATTCTAACTCACTTTTCGTGCAAAATCAGCACTGTTGAACTTGGTGTAGTCTTCCCCAGCCTCTACTGGTTTATCTGACAGTTTCCGTTTCTATTAAATGCAAGACAGTAGTCAGAAAAACCAAGTCCACCAAAAGATCTTTTGAATCTAACTGAACTACTACACCATTCCTCTAACTACATTCAGAAACAAAGCATTTATGATGCTGCATGAAACAATGACAAGCTGATTGAGTTTAAGAAGAAATAGGAATCAGAAAGCAAATGATTAACAAGGCATAAATTCAAGTAAAGCAAGACCAAGTAAATGATGTCTAATATTAGCCAATGGCTAATAAATGCTCAGACTTTACTCGCCAGTGTGTGAGTTGGATGCTGAGTATATGATTAGCACAGATATATTTTCACTCACAGAACACTCTGACTGAGCGCTTCAGAGTTTCACTCTCCGTCAAGCGTTCTGATATTTTTCAGTTCATTTGAATGGATGCGCAGCGCACCTGTGTTTGTCGTAACGTAAACTCTAGTGTGAAGGAGCACGACTCGCCGTCGCTTTCTCTCACACGCGCAAAGAGAAGGAGCGAGCGAGAGTCTTACATAAAATGCAGAATTGATGCGCTACATGTAAACGATATACTTTGTTGTATTTTCCTGTACAAATAATAGAGTTCCTTTGGAATTCTTCAGCTTTTAAGAACTGCCGGGTTTTTCGGTAGTAGGCGGAACTAATGCACAAACGACAATCTTATTGGCTGGTGCTCACCTATTATCGTCCCTGTTTTGATTTCAGCGAATGCACCTGTATATATATATATATATAGTCTAGTATAGTATAGTATTTCAGTCTGGCGAGTAAACTAAAAAATGTACTAGCCAATGGTGATTCAATTGCCAAGGTGTCCGTAGAGGGTTGAGACATAATTCAACTATTAACATTCAAGCATGGCAGTAGCATGCAAATAGTGAAACAAAACACTGGTATTTCAAGCAGAAAGATGTACCTTAGAAGGCGGCTCTGTCTCTTTAGGGCTGAATATCTCTGGCAACCTTGTAACATAATAGACAAAAAAAATGTTATAACTACATAAGCATAACTATATGAATGTGAGTAGTGGTCAACTGATATGGACTTTTTTTTATGACTGATGCAAAAGAGAGCACGGTGGCCAAGGCCGATGTAAAACCGCTATATATGATATCACACTGTTTATAGATACATGCATAACAATTGTTGAAATTAAATTAAAATTTATTTTACATAACATTTACAAATTATACAGTGGAGGCCAAAATGATTAGAACACTAGTATTTTCACCAGCTAAAAAATGGTTTTAAATCAGTTATTTCTATATTTTGCTGTAGTGTGTCAGTAGGAAATATCAGTTTACATTTCCAAACATTCATTTTGCCATTAATTGTAATAATCCAGTGAGATATTTGTTTAAACAAGGAGTCTGCCAACAGCCAGTGCTCCACACAGAGATCTGATCTGATCATCATCCAGTCTGTCTGAGATTACACGAAGAAACAGAACAAACTGAGACAGACTAAATCCAGAAGAACTTGTGTAAAAATGCTGTAAAATGAGGATGCTGTAAAAATAATGTCATAAATAGATTTCTTTTATCAATCAACTTTTATTAACTAAATTAAATCAACATTTGGTGTGTTTAAAGCAGCTTTTGGTGCACTTGCACATAGTTTTTCAGGTAGCTTTGCAGGTAGGTTTCTTGAAGCATCTTGGAGATGTTGCCACAGTTCTTCTGGATTTAGTCTGTCTCAGTTTGTTCTGTTTCTACATGCCATTCCTTGTGCAAACAAAAATCTCACTGGATTATTACAATTCATGGCAAAATGAATGTTTGGAAATGTAAACTTATTTCCTACTGACACACTACAGCAAAAGATAGAAATAACTGACTTAAAACCATTTAGCTGGTGAAAATACTTGCGTTCTAATCATTTTGGCCACCACTGTATAATTTGAAAATAAATAAATAATTTGCATGGACCAACAATTAACGTGTGTTTATGCATGTGTTCATGCAGTCTACCAATGCACATTTTAGAGGATCTCTGAATTTGAGTTTGTAATTTTAGTGAAATGAAAGATATAAATATAAAATATAGATATAAAAAGTCTCGATTAAATGAAATGCGTATTTGCTGAATGCTGATAGTAGATGAGAAACTATTATAACTATTTTGCTTTTCTATTACTAATAATAAAGCAATGCTGTAATACTTTTTTGTGCACCTTAAGTTCTGTGTAATAATTTATTAATCAAAACTGTTAAACAGAGATAGTAAACTAACAAAGACAGAGAACGTTGTGCGTTTAGGTGCTGGTCAAAATAAAAGTCCCACTTCTGGTATATCACCAAACAGAAAAAATGTACTGGATGATGCCAATAATTAAAAAAATTCCAAATATCAGCCGATATATTGGCCTTGGCAATATATATCGGTCAACCACTATTTGTGAGGTGATGTGAACGATCAGTGTTTGATCAGTGTAGGTGTACATACTGCAGATGCTTGAGGAGAGCTTTGCTCAGGTCTTCACTGATGTACTCCGATATGAGACCATGTGCATAACGCAAGTAGTCCTCTAAAAGAATAACAAATACACTAACATTAGTAAATAACCCATACAAACATAATCCAACCATATTTATTTATCCTTTTACCTTCAGTAGCATCTTCATGTTTCACTCTGACGAACATGCTGGATTTCACTCCTCCACCCACAGACATGTTACTCTTTTTGAGTCTTAATACTGTGCGTTGGACCTGAAATACATTTTTTAAATATTTTTAAATGCAACTTAAATACTCATTGTTGATATAATTTATGATTCTTATACAAGTTAAACATTTTATAAACCTTTTTCTTGAGCCACTCCAAGGTCTTCTCCTGGTTATATCTGTGAAACCTTTTACCCTCTACCTCTGAAAAAGTGGATTCCATTTTTTTATATATATTCAACAAAATTTGGACATCACACTGTATCTGTAACTAATTTGGCCTATATGTGCCTATAGATTCAAACACACACCTTTCTCATCAGCCACATGATGAAGGGAATCCAGTCCCTGTTTGCAATGCAGAAGTCTTGTGCATCCAGGGTAATCCTCATCCATAATCATCTGCTTTGCCGGCTGGAACTTTTCCTATAGGAAGAGTGTTGTCATTACAGATGAAGCTCATCTTAATGGCTTTTACTGTAATATTTGCATTTTAATTAATTTTAACCTCAGTGGCAGTACTGCTGATGTATGGCAACAGCAGAAATAAAGGATCAATGGGAGTCACATACAGCAGTCTACCATCTGACGACACAGATACAAAAGTGAACAATTAGTTCATTTAGATGTCAACAGCAGATTACTAAACGTTGAGCATGTAAATGGATGTCGAATGGATAGCTCATGTTCTGTAAGGAAAGCTTACCTCTTTGCACTGTCTGTCCACTGAACCAAGACCGAAAGTCTTCAGAAAAGGCTTTTACTTCATAAACACAGACATCACCACAGCCAAACAGATACAGTGAAGAACTGCCTGCATTCACAAATAAAGGCAGAACTGTCAGTCAGTTGCAGTTTACTTAGATAAACCTCTGATAGACATCACCACTACATACTACTAAACTGCAAGTTGCTGTTAATTTAATTGAATATAATATAATAGTAATACCTGTAGCAGGATTCTTTAGTTTGATGAAGGACGGATCACCCTCTTCAGACCTGCCTGTGTCCAGTGCTGAATCTGAAAGTGAAGGGTGAAAATATATATATATATATACATTTAAATTAGATTAGATTTATTAAAAGAAAACAGAATAGCATGGAGATTTAGGTGAGCTATACTGACCCTGAAGTTTGCATACTTACTAATGCAACATTTGTCATTATTACAAAGCCTCAGTAAAATATGTTGTGCAATGAAGACTGCGTATACAATGTTTCTGAAAGAACATGTGTGTAACATGCAACACAATAAACTTGAAAATGTAAGGTACCTGGAGCAATGACAACCCAGCTGTCGTTGTCGGAGCGCGCAGAGCGTTTCTTTTTAGTAGTCATTTCAAGGACTGACTAAAAAAGTTAAACTGTATCAAAAGGTTGTCTGATGATAATGTAAGAGCGCAAGACCTGTTAGTAGAGCTTCTGCCTGCAGAAAAATGGCGGCAAATATTTGTGTACAGTACAGATAGGGTGTGAAACTCGAAGTGACTTTTATTCTGATACTACTTCACGTCTGGTTAAGCTTATATAACAACTTTTTTCAATAGTGTGTTTAAGTAAAAAAAAATCTTATCCAAAATCTCTAATAAATGTGAAAAGAGAACAGCGCCTAATTTGAAACCGCGTCAACAACCACCCCTCTCTCAACATGGTACAGTCAGTCTCACAGCATTTCTTAAAGACATAGTAGCACATTTATTTTTGGCACCATTAAAAGTACCGTTGGGAAGATCTTTCTCAATATTCTTCGCATTGTTTCGTAATTATTTGCGTGACATGATATACATATATAAATATGGATGTCGCATATTTTACCTTTTTGCAATCTGTTGGTCGCCTAAATGACAGTAATATATAAGCACAAGTTTGCCGTTAGCACTGGGACAAAACAAAAAGACAAGAATATTTTGTGAATATAAAAAAATCTGGATTAATCTGTTTACCTTTGAAAATGAGAGGCAGAACCCAAAGCGCTGTACCCAAAGATAAACAAATCAGCTTTGTCTTTAAAGAATGGTGATTTTGTGTAAAATGTTATCATTTATATATCATAAGAAGTATTGAGAAAACTGAAATAATGGCTGAAAGGTGATCATAAGGGTACATTTTTCGAAATTGAGATTTATGCATCATCTGAAAGCTGAATAAATAAGCTTTCCATTGATGTATGGTTTGTTAGGATAGGACAATATTTGCCCGAGATAGGACTATTTGAAAATCTGGAATCTGAGGGTGCAAAACAATCAAAAAGAAAAGGCTTTTACTTCATAAACACAGACATCACCACAGCCAAACAGATACAGTGAAGAACTGCCTGCATTCACAAATAAAGGCAGAACTGTCAGTCAGTTGCAGTTTACTTAGATAAACCTCTGATAGACATCACCACTACATACTACTAAACTGCAAGTTGCTGTTAATTTAATTGAATATAATATAATAGTAATACCTGTAGCAGGATTCTTTAGTTTGATGAAGGACGGATCACCCTCTTCAGACCTGCCTGTGTCCAGTGCTGAATCTGAAAGTGAAGGGTGAAAATATATATATATATATACATTTAAATTAGATTAGATTTATTAAAAGAAAACAGAATAGCATGGAGATTTAGGTGAGCTATACTGACCCTGAAGTTTGCATACTTACTAATGCAACATTTGTCATTATTACAAAGCCTCAGTAAAATATGTTGTGCAATGAAGACTGCGTATACAATGTTTCTGAAAGAACATGTGTGTAACATGCAACACAATAAACTTGAAAATGTAAGGTACCTGGAGCAATGACAACCCAGCTGTCGTTGTCGGAGCGCGCAGAGCGTTTCTTTTTAGTAGTCATTTCAAGGACTGACTAAAAAAGTTAAACTGTATCAAAAGGTTGTCTGATGATAATGTAAGAGCGCAAGACCTGTTAGTAGAGCTTCTGCCTGCAGAAAAATGGCGGCAAATATTTGTGTACAGTACAGATAGGGTGTGAAACTCGAAGTGACTTTTATTCTGATACTACTTCACGTCTGGTTAAGCTTATATAACAACTTTTTTCAATAGTGTGTTTAAGTAAAAAAAAATCTTATCCAAAATCTCTAATAAATGTGAAAAGAGAACAGCGCCTAATTTGAAACCGCGTCAACAACCACCCCTCTCTCAACATGGTACAGTCAGTCTCACAGCATTTCTTAAAGACATAGTAGCACATTTATTTTTGGCACCATTAAAAGTACCGTTGGGAAGATCTTTCTCAATATTCTTCGCATTGTTTCGTAATTATTTGCGTGACATGATATACATATATAAATATGGATGTCGCATATTTTACCTTTTTGCAATCTGTTGGTCGCCTAAATGACAGTAATATATAAGCACAAGTTTGCCGTTAGCACTGGGACAAAACAAAAAGACAAGAATATTTTGTGAATATAAAAAAATCTGGATTAATCTGTTTACCTTTGAAAATGAGAGGCAGAACCCAAAGCGCTGTACCCAAAGATAAACAAATCAGCTTTGTCTTTAAAGAATGGTGATTTTGTGTAAAATGTTATCATTTATATATCATAAGAAGTATTGAGAAAACTGAAATAATGGCTGAAAGGTGATCATAAGGGTACATTTTTCGAAATTGAGATTTATGCATCATCTGAAAGCTGAATAAATAAGCTTTCCATTGATGTATGGTTTGTTAGGATAGGACAATATTTGCCCGAGATAGGACTATTTGAAAATCTGGAATCTGAGGGTGCAAAACAATCAAAATATTGAGAAATATTTCGCCTTTAAAGTTGTCCAAATGGGGTTCTTAGCAATGCATATTACTAATCAAAAATGTATTTTGAATATATTTACAGTAGGAAATTTACAAAATATCTTCATGGAACATGATCTTTACTTAATATCCTAATGATTTTTGGCATAAAAGAAAAATCTATAATTTTGGCTTTTGCTACAAATATACCCCAGCGACTTAAGACTGGTTTTGTGGTCCAGGGTCACAAATTATGTCATAATAGGCTACATTTCTGATAAGAACTATTTCAATGTGGAAATTAAGTGAAAGTATTTTATATACATTATTTAAACGCAGGTTAAGTTATGGGACATGTTTTATACCATGTCTCAACAATTTGTGACCAACAGACAATACATTTAATATAATGAACGAATTTCAGCACAAAAAAAAAGAGTAAACATGAGACATGGCATCCTCCATACAAAATGTATGTTTCTCACAGTGACCTCAAGATGGCGCCCGTGTCTTGAAAATGCATAAAGTAATGCCCTTCGACTGAATTGACTGCGGATTAATTGTTAGTTTATTACCTGTATGAACGTCCTAGACATGCTCTAAGCCGTCATAATGATCTTATATCTTAGCTATATCAGTCAGAAAGAAGCTTTTTTTGGCACAACAGATTAGCCTACAATAATCAAAGCATTTAAACATTATAGCCTACAATAAACATAGCCTATATGACACGGGAAATAGCCTAAAATTGGTCAAAAATAATACAAAGTACAATAAAAAATAACAAATGCTCTAAAAAAAATGGCATGAACAGAGATTATAATGGCTTATAAAGCAGTAGCCTATATGTTGAGCGGTATATGTTGACTGTGATGTAGAATCCATAGATGCATACAGTTGCTCTTTCCTTTTCTCTTTTGCTTTTCAGGATCTTACAACTACACTGTTGTCGCTGAGTCTGTAGGCTACTTCATCAGACTGTGTCTCAGCTTAACATGTCTGACCATTCCCTCTGTCTTTATCACTCACTTTATCTCGTATTGTGTGAGAGGGAAAATGTGTCTTTTTGCACTTGTGTCACTCATTAAAACAGCTAACCAAGACATGTCCTGACACAGTCTATACGTGTGCATTCATGTGCTGCTGATTAAGAATCAGGGACCCCCTGTTCTGCTATAAGTCTGAGGTATTCAGGTCAACCAAGGTCTGCTGAGCAAGGACATGGTGGAGGGGGAGGAGGGGCTCCAGGACATCCCAGCTGTACAATAAATTACCATCAAAGAGAAGCTATATACATACTGCATATATTCAGTTGTCAGATGCCATCATTTTCTAAACAAAAAGTCCATCACAGTTTAGATTTTTAATCTATTTCAAATCTTATTTAATATCACATGAATTCTAAACATTTTCAAATATTATTCTGATTAACATGTCTTTACCATCACTCATGTACCAATCTGTTTATTAAAAAAACTAGGCCTAACTATAAGTTATGAGGTTCATTGCACTCTCTCTGTTCTTTTTCTCACTTCCACAGAGATATGACACAGACACCAATATTGAGTAACTCCACTAGTGTCCTAAGAGACAGACAGAATGAAATCTGGTTGGCAAAAATAGCGTGGCACAACTTCAAGGCATACAGTGACATTTCAGCTCAGGCTTGTTAAACACATCTGACTTGTTGCTCTGTTTTATAAACTCGTTGATGGAACAGATCAGAATAACGATTCTTATTTTGCATCTCAGCCTTACCTCCTCCCACACACATGCAAAATTAGGCAAACACACCTTGCACATTAACATGCTCCCATAACATCGCTGTAAAGAAAATAGTGGCATTTTACAGGGGTTTTTAGTTTTACTTTTGCACACACACTAACACACTCCCAGGAGCAAAGTATAGCCCACACAATGTTTTCCAACTCCACAAACAGGGGTTGACATCGTGTAATCTTACTATCACTCATTGAAGTCACGCGCTAACTTATTAATAATGTGTGCATTATTTATACTGTCAGATGTCCATCTCAATTTATAGGATGATCTTTTAGTAGGAGGGGCAACCTACAGAGATGCATTGCATAAAATGACCACAGCTCGTCGGTGTTCATTTTCGGCGAACACGTTGAGAATGTCGTGTTTTGACATTACAGGTCTGTCACTAGAGGTCTGATGAGTCAAACTGAGCGTGATCTATTGGATCTATTATCATTTGAGTCGCTGCGACAGGAAATTTGTTTGGACTTTTTTTATTTTTATTTATTGGTAGTAAAAATGAAAAATGTAATTTAAAAATGTATCATAAAAACTATGATACGAGCCAGGCTTTTACTTTCAACAGGATAAAAAGCTCAAACTAGAAGGTAGGCTACTAATATCGCAGGCTTGATGAAACAGTTGGAGGCGTCCATCATTTATTTTGCGTTGTCTTATTGTGTGATAGATAGCAAACTGATTTGTTTTAAAGCTGTTATACATAAACGTGTGCCATTTTACAAAATGTAGCCTACTGCGTTTTTAAATAAGCAGATTTACTATATGGATGTGATGATGAATTTATGTATTTTCATACACGGAATTTATGTATTTTCATATTTGGAAGCAACAAAAGGAAATGAAAGGATACAAACTTATTCGTTAGTCATTCGAGCAGGCAACGTGTTTAGTTAATAAATTCATTCGTTGAAAGTGATTTCGTTACTCTACATTTTCATTTGTTCTGCAGCAGCTTGAAATCCGAGGATTATGCATTTTTATGTAGCAGAACGATTATATTATTGCTTCAAACTTTTATTTTACAATTGCTCCTATTACTAACGTATCAAATCGTTGTAAAATACCAGCAGATTGATTGATTGTGTTTAGAATGAGTCAAGATGATTTGATTTATCTCTAAAAGAATGAAAATCTTAACGAAAACAGGCAAATATCTGACTGTTTCACTAGTAAAACGGCATAAATATTAATTGTATTAAAAATGTAATTTAAAAATGTATCATAAAAACTATGATACGAGCCAGGCTTTTACTTTCAACAGGATAAAAAGCTCAAACTAGAAGGTAGGCTACTAATATCGCAGGCTTGATGAAACAGTTGGAGGCGTCCATCATTTATTTTGCGTTGTCTTATTGTGTGATAGATAGCAAACTGATTTGTTTTAAAGCTGTTATACATAAACGTGTGCCATTTTACAAAATGTAGCCTACTGCGTTTTTAAATAAGCAGATTTACTATATGGATGTGATGATGAATTTATGTATTTTCATACACGGAATTTATGTATTTTCATATTTGGAAGCAACAAAAGGAAATGAAAGGATACAAACTTATTCGTTAGTCATTCGAGCAGGCAACGTATTTAGTTAATAAATTCATTCGTTGAAAGTGAATTCGTTACTCTACATTTTCATTTGTTCTGCAGCAGCTTGAAATCCGAGGATTATGCATTTTTTATGTAGCAGAACGATTATATTATTGCTTCAAACTTTTATTTTACAATTGCTCCTATTACTAACGTATCAAATCGTTGTAAAATACCAGCAGATTGATTGATTGTGTTTGGAATGAGTCAAGATGATTTGATTTATCTCTAAGAGAATGAAAATCTTAACGAAAACAAGCAAATATCTGACTGTTTCACTAGTAAAACGGCATAAATATTAATTGTATTACCCTAAATTGCTTAGATCATTTTAATGTGATTAGATTATAGGCTATTTTGCTGGATTCCTATTTATATATTTACTTAATCCTACAATCACCTACAGCCACGTAGTGATAATCGTTCGCCTGTATTTGCTCGTTTGAGAGTGAGTAGAGGAAGGTTGGAAAATGCTGAAAACCTCACCTCAGCTGTGTCAACAGGCCGTGTGTTTTTGCCTGTTATAAATAGCCCCACTTTCAAATTAACTTCCTAAACGCCACGTGCCATCCAAAATAAAACTATTCAGATAAAATATTCATATTGTAGGCAACATTTAGCATTAATCAGTTGTACGAATCCCTTGTTAATGAACTAGCAGCTGGATTACCCTTAATTTGCGAAGTCACTGTTTTGCATGCCCATAAAGGTTGTTTTATAAGTGCTTTTTGACATACGAAAATTGTAAAATAAAAAAATACTCAAAGGTGAAAAGTGCTTATTTGCCTTAGGGAACCGAGGGCAAAAAACCTATAAACCTTAATATGAACAATGTTGAACTTTTATACCATTATAGGTTTAAAGACGAAATTGTTGAAACAGAAAACACATCTGCTAAAGCAGTAATGCTTACTGTTGAACGCTCGTGCCACGCATCCTAACCAAAGTGGGGTGTAGCACATGATGATATTTGACAGGCTTTAGTTGCCCTAATGCAGTCGAACACACCAAAACACCAGCCAATAGCAGAAGTCAGCTGTTTCA